TTGGATTAAAAAAAAATATATGTTTAAAAAACCATTGAATAATAATATATTACAACCTAACCTATAACCGGCATAACCTAACTTAATATTATTATACGTCTAACAAGTTTCCTAGTTTATATTGTGTACACCGCCGTCGTTATTCACTTCAATGCAACAGACATAAAATTCCGTTATGTCTGCGGACATTTGGAAACGTGTGTAACTCAAAGCGCGCGCGTTGAATGTTAATCGAAACCCGAGACTTTAGGACGTCATTTTCGTGGAGACGGACACGTAACATGATTATCTGTACTTACACGAAATAAAATTTTTAAATCTGTTTACGTGAATAAGCGTCCGAAGGTATTATTATAGTATACCATTACATATATACTATTATGATGTATTATATTATTTCCATGTTCGCTGCGGGGAAACTGTGTGGAACCGGTCCTTGACGCCTGGTGGTAATTTTATATGAATACGTGTAACGATTAGCGTAGGTACTCGAGTGCGCGCACACACACGTACATAGCTTGTACATAGTTAAGTACTTACACTATATTTATAACTTTAATATGATATGAAAATATTGCAAGTATATATGCACAAGTTTAATAAACATTGTTCATATTTATAAGTCGATAAAAAGACATAGGAATATGAGTGACGTGTCTATCTACAACACGTGATTGAATAAAATTTAAAGCTAATTTTTAAATATTTTTTGTGTATAGGATAAAAAATAATTAAGTTCGTTTATTTATTGAATAGATCGTTGTATATTATAATTTATGACATATATTTATGCACTGCTAAATTAGTACTGCAGTATAGAAAATAACAGAATAGATTGATTAAAACGATACGAATACAACAACAAATGTGCAAGAAAAACATCTCGATTGAAAATTGGTAAATCTTAGAAGTATTGCAGGGACACTAGCGGAATCTAGGAAAACACTTAGGAGATTTAAGTCAAAAGTGATAAGCCAGAACTCTGAGATCGATATTATTTAACGAAAAATCGGAACCGGGTGAAAGACGCAACAGCCAAATTAATGGTCAATCGATCTGCGAAGTCGGGGGTAGAGTACAGGAAAACCATGTTTTGTTATCAGTATAGCCACGCAAGAAAATAACTCGAAAAGTAGGTACGTCTATCAGAAATCGCAAAATCAAATTTTCCACTCCGTATCGTTTAGAATAAACGACTTGGCGCCTTTAAGCGCATGTAGGTGATGTTATTATTTAGGTATGCATTGTACGACTTCCGCGATGTTTACCACCGGCCGTGAGTATTCGCACGCGGTAGTCGCAGCGAGACATTCTTCTCACAATATATATGTATAACAATAGTATTATATTATTATTCTTTTGTTTTCGTCCGAAATCGCGATCGTTTATCGTGGCACCTATATCACTCGACCGTCGTGATATTATTATGTTCTACGATAATTCGGTGCCGTGTCATTATTATATTATGCGGTGCGTTTGCGTAAACAGCCGGTAGGAACAACGCGGACCGACACGAATCGCCCCCCGAGGAAGGAAAAAAATAATAATAACAATCATACATAATAACGAATGATGATGGTTTTGGAAATAATTTTTTTTTTTTTTCCCGATCACGGTCCCCGGCATAACTGCGGGTCATCCGGCAACGTCGCATAGTTCAGTGTGTAACGGGTTAACGTAACGGTTCGGTAGGTATGCGAGGCCGCCGCCGCCGCCGCCGCGGTCATCATTGACGGGTTTTGGCTACACAGTAATATCATAATAATATATTATATTACGTACGCATACACACCCGTCGGTCATTCGTCGTCGAGATGAAACTGTTGGAGCTTTTGTACATAGAGTACAATATCCAAGTGTTAATTATTTACTCAAGTGTACAACATAAGTATAACAGAAAAATCTTGTATTACCATTTATTCAATTAATATTTTACAACTTGTTATAAGCTTTAAGTACTGTATTCTATTTCAACTCGTAGTAACAAATTTCTATCATTTTTGATAAATTGATTTGTAAATTGTAATACACTAAAACTGTAATATAATATAATATATTAGATGTATTAACATCAATAAATTTATAATTATTTTGAAATAATGTAATGTTAGTTGGATACATAAAATTAACTTAATTAATTCATCAAAATTTCTTCTGGTATTCCCATAATTTATTCAATATAGTTACATTTTAAACATTATGATGTTTTATATGTATTTTTAAGGCATAAATACAGACTAATTAACTTACTAACTACTGTACTATGTTCTGAACACTGTCTAAACAATTAATTTAAAGAGTAGGTACTATAAGAGCTTTGCTGCATACAAATTTTAATTTCAATAAATGTGGGTAAAATATTCTTTCTACGGGGAAATAATATTTTTAATTATCTAGTAAAATACATATTATATTTTTATCAAAACATATAGGCATTTTTACATGTTAAATAGGGAAATTATTGCAATAAAATCGAAAATACTTTTTAATTTATTTATTTATTGATGTTCTAGTAGGTTTTATTTTCTCTGACAATAAAATTCATATTACCTGTATTAATACCCATTATATTGGCTATTATATTATTAATTGTATTTTAATATATTATGTAGATATAGTTGTACATATTTTGAAATTAATTTCAAATGTGAAACCGGTTCGTGTAAAGATTTGATCACATTATAAATAAAAATAATAAAGCATACGTGCCTAAAGCTATATAGTGGCTACTTTTGTTTATCTACTTATCAATATTTTCAACCGGTCGTGTATCATCTCAAAATAATAGTATCATGTGTAATTTGGCTTATCTGCACTGCTAAAGACTTACCAGTGTTTGTAAAAATCTCATGTAATAAAATACAACAATGTGTTCACGCTGATGCATATAATTTATTGTTAAACAATCCAGTGCCTGAATTTTGCAGTGATTTATGCAGTTTTACCGCGGAAATCTGATTAACGCTGTAAAGTTTTTATTTTACCACTGTATCTATTCATAATAATATTAATTATAACATGCATTTCCCGTGAACCAATGCAGCAAGAAAGCGTAAACCGAGTGATGTATAAAATATTTAATAATATTTACATTAGAATAAAAGGCGTGTGCGGGCGCACAATCGTAGATCGAATATCGCTCGACGAGAGAAAGTGAATTGTACACGCGCCTTCATACACGATACACAAGATAGGCAATATGTAGTATAACATCACCCATTGCGCCAATAGTTATATACTTATTTAAACATCTAGATCCGATGCGTAAGCACTAAGCATAACATTTATATAAGGTATACGCCGTATATCATGGGTATGGGATATATACAAAGCATCAACCAAACGCTCACCCCCATTTTTCTTCGATAATAAATTTATTGATATTCTAATTTTTATTCTTAAGCATACGGCGATATATTTTCAACAGTTGATATTTTATGCACTTAAGGAGTATGTCGTCGTGATACAAACTTTTCCCAAAGTTTTCCACTCTTGTAACGTAAATTATTAAGATATATATTTTTATTGAAAATTAATCAGAATAATTAATATTAAATATACATATTTTATATTAGATGTAAGACCATTGCAGAAGACAATAAATTGTCTCATAAACAAGACATAATACCCGAATGCCTGATAGACAATTTTCATAAAAGGGTGTTCTGATTGAAAAAGAAGTTTGGTAACACTACAATATAATTCTAAATAGTAGCAAATAAATTAGAACTTGAATTAACTTATTAAAGAATATGATAGGTGATGAGCATGTTTGGTGAATCACGCTGTATATTTATAAGATAAGAGGGGTTTCCCACCTAGCTGTTGCAGCAGGCAATGGATGACAATGACGCTTTGATTATAGACGTTGTTGTGTTCTGCATTATGTGAAAGTTGTGTCGTTTGTGGGTGCCAAATGGCAAACGCCAAACCGTATGGGGAAAATGTTTTAAATAAAGAGAACACAACGAGTCGAGTCAGTGAAAGCTCGAAACGCCTACTATACATAAGGCAATATGTACGGTATGCCGGTCTGATTAATAATACTCCTGCGTATTACATATTATATTTTATTGCGCAATAAAACGTTGAATTGACGTGATAGTAACTGGAAACAACATAATATTATATTATTATGACGGACTGCAGTAGATTATAAAATTACGCACGACACTCAGGTGCCTTAGTCAGGACAACGTAATACTTACTATTGCCAGTTACTCATCGTATATTACACTTTATACACCATACTTATCTGAAATTAAGATAATCGTCGAATATCTTAGATTTGTGCCTTCAAATTATTTATGTGTCCTGCTATGACGTCTAATTATGTGTTAATATGCATATATATAAAAATATAACAGTAAACGCCGCACACTAAAATGCATACAGATAACACAGTTATAATATATAGTTTTTATACTAGTAAATAAATACACAATTATAGTGTTCCGCATCTTGACTACATACTTGAAAAGCTGTTGCAACGTAAATCGCGGTGATTTGCGCATTATGGCAATTTATTTTGTATACCTCATGATAGTACCAGACTTTGTTACTAATGTTTAAAATTGTTTACTTATTACATTAGAATAATTGATGATTAAAAATCTGGAAAATTTTACGTGGAGAATAATTCACACATATGGTTGTGTTTTGTGTTTATCCAACGAATTTGATAAATTTATTTTGTCGAGGTAGTGACGACGTCTAGATTATTCGCCCGTACGAGCTTTACTAGGTAAAAGTACGTTAATCGAAAAACCATACTGAAAAACGTACTAGTGATAAACGCCATACATACTCTGTAATCGTTATAATAATTTATTAATAATTGTTGAATTCTCAGGAATCGATTACAATTCAGCCGTCGTTACCTATGCTGTTATCGGTTTGAATCTTCGAATAAATATATGATATTTTCTCGTTCGATGACGCTATGTTTGCGCAAACGGTCGCGTATTATTTTATCGCACATGAAACTTAAGAAACGCATAATGTGTTCGAGGGTGTTTGGGAGAGGAGGAGGAAGCAGTGACCTGAAACGTAAAATACGATTTCGCTGTGATCTCGTACTAGTATGTATAGCTAGAGGTAAATCAATAGTTACGACGACGATAAAGAAAATCAGAGAAAACACAACGAGTCCCCTCACGGTGTTCATCTGGTCACGTGTTACGCCATTAGAATGTCATGCAATTATAGTCGCATGATGACGTCATAATATTAACGTACACTCGTACACGCGTTGTGTTTTGGTGTGTCGTGGCGAAAACGACACGACGTTCACGGAGCGTGGTGCGAGGTCGTGCACCGGCGGCACACGAGGCGACCGCGCACGGGCCATGAATCAACAGATAGACGACGACTACCGTCGGCGGGTCGACATGTGCGCTGACGCGGGCCGAAGAATTCAAGCCGACCGCCGCGTGCCCGGCGTCGGCGGAGAGGCCGTGCGGTGAAATGCAGCAAACGGCGGCGGCGGTGCTCGACGACGACGACGACTCTCGCTGATCGCCGTCGCGCGGTGTCGTCTCGACTTGGCGGACGAACAGACGTCCCAGATCGCAATACTATTACGAGTACGCGGGACCGACGAACATCGGTCTGGGGAAGCCGCAGGGCTTCCGTCGCGGCCGAATCACTCCGCCTGGAGCCCGATACTGTAGCGCAGGCGCAGCAGGAGACGACAGCAGCAGACCGGATGTCGACCGTCAGCAGACCTGTAAGGCGGCAACAGCGACATGGTGAGAGACATACTGGCTGATTCGTCGAAGCTGTTGAACGTCAGCCCGGCACAAACCGGTTACCGCGCAGTCATCAAGACGCGCATCAACAACCGCGACCTTCCGCGCATATCGGACGCTTCGGTCGTATTGGAACCGCCGGCGTTCGTGCCGATGCCGCAACAGCACACAGCTCAACACCGGCAGCAGAGCAGCACAGCAGCAGCAGCAACAGCAGCAGCAACACCAGCCACAGCTGCCGGCGCAGAACAAGCCGAAGACCGCGCCGTACCCGTTCGACGTGCCGCAGCCCGTCCGGCCGTTGCCGCCGCAACCGCCCAACCTGGTCAAACCGTTTTTGACCGGCGTACCGTTGCCCGAACAGCTGGTGCCCACCGACGGCGGTGGCCACGACGACAACGACGAGCTGAGCCCGCCGTCTTTGCAGTACGAAGACGACGTGTCGCGCCTGCCGCCGTCGTCGTCGTCCAGACGACCGGTGCAGCACCCGCAGACGGCCAAACCGCAACAGGAATACGACTTGTTCGCGAACGGCCACGCGCACGGCGGCGCCGGTCACGGGCCTTCGACCGCGTTCAGGCCGGTGGAAAACGCCACGGAAAAATTCACGGTGGACGCGCCTTCGTCCGCGCGACCGCCGCCCGGGCCCTCGGACAGACCGGCTGCGACGTTCGCCGTGGCCGATAACGACACGACCACGGCGGACAGACGTGGTCGGCGTGATCGCATAAACGGCGACCCGCGTGATCGGCCTCCAGTGTCGAAAATCGTCGACCACTTGACCTCGCCCGTGGTCGCCGTCTCGCCGATCGCGGTGACCGACCCACCGCGGCCGCGGCCACCGCGCGCCACCGCCACCGCGACCACCACCACTACGACCACCACTGCCGCCTGGTACCGGCGGGGCAGCAGCGGCTGGCGCGGTCCACGAGCGTCACCGCCGCCGCCGTCGTCGCCGCCGCTCGACCGGAACACGTCCGCGGCCGGCG